CACAGCGCCCCTAGAGGACAGAGTGGAACTGCCCACAGCATCTCCAAGGCTGTCAATCTTCACAGAAGCAAAGTCCTAACCACAACCACTGCCGTGGAATCGATTCGGACTCACAGCGGACAGACTCGAACTGCCCCAGAGGGTCTCCAAGGCTATGTATCTTTACAGAAGCAGACAGCCTCATCTTTTGCGGAGCAGCTGGTGGGTTCAAACCACTGACCTTTTGGTTCAGCATTCCAATGTTTTAACCACTGCTCCACCAGAGCTCCTTTACTGACAATAAAAGGCAATAATAATGAAAACTAAAAAAAAACAAGAGGTATTCAACTTAACTCTGAACCAACCTAGGACGGCAGTGTCAGAACAGAGCCCTGTCCTAAGTCGGGGACTGACTTAACTCAGGAAGTCCTCCTTGTAAGGTCGCAATGAAGAAGGGAGGAGGCACAAAGAGAGGGATAAAGAAAAGGTTTATTCTGCGCTCCCAGGCGAGGTTCACGGGTCCCTGAAAGGGGACCGGGCGAGGTTCACGGGTCCCTGAAAGGGGCCAGAGAAGTACACCGCCCTGGGTGAAAGAAGGGGATTTTATAGTGGTATCTTCGCCCCTTCTTAGCAGACTGGATTGAGGACAGGGGATGTGGTATAGGGACCAATGAGGTTAAAGCACCCCATTAGCATGGGGACAGGAAGTAGTGCTGAAGCACTTCATTAGCACAGTGGGCAGGAAATAGTTGGGGGCTTTCATAAGCAAGGGTCATGTGCTGGGGTCTGGTATGGATCTGGTCAGGCGCTTCCTTGCTTGACCAGTTCTTATAATTCTCTCCAGCTTAATCATTCACCTGTCTGGCCTGCCGTGTTCCCGTTCCTGCCTGACACTCCTGTGGGCATTAAGGCCTGTTGGTTCAACTTTCTGGTCAAACGCAGATTCACGCGGCATATCTCACCTGATCTCCGCGGGGAACTGTGCATTTGTGACCAGGAAGCTGGAGATTTTGCACTGGTGGAGGAGCTCCAAGAACCTGTTGATCTCTGGGTACATGATTGGTTCTCCCACCAGGGACAAAGCACAGTGCTTGACCTTCATGGCCTCCTCAAAGCGGTCTGCTCTCACGCCTGGTACTCCTGGAAAACACGCAGAAAAGGAGCATGCTCGGTAAGGTGCAGACAGAGGATCTCGTGAACGAGTTTCTTAACGATCCTTTGCTTTTAGAAGCCAAATGCACTTCTGATACCAGTCAGAGAAAAACCGGGGCCAGGAATAAACAAAACTTATTAATTCAGAAATATCAGCCAGCCATCTTCCTCTTGGTTTTACCACTGAGTGTCATCATTGGGTGCCGTAGAGTTGATTCCGACTCACAATAACCCCGTGTGTTACACAGTAGAACCAGCCCACAGGGTTTCACAGAAGCACATGGTCAGGCCTTTCTTCCGCAGCATGCTGGGTGGATCGAACTGCCAACCCTCGTCCACGGGAGAAAGAGGTGGGAGACCACTTCTGTAAAGATACGCAGCCTTAGAAACCCTATGGGGCACTTCCACGCTGTCCTGTAGGGATGCTAGGAGTCAGATTCCGCTCGACAGCAGTGGGTTCTCATTTTACGTAATGAACAGTACCTCGATCTAACGTAAAATTGGGAAGATCTAGAAACTGTAAACAGGCAAATAAAAATATATCTCCTTTACCTCAGATGTTTCTAACTGAACTCTTTCTGGATACTTTTTGAAGGATATTATTCTCTCAGGAGCACAAGACAAGGGGAGGAGAGGGGGACAGTTCAAACGCTCAGGAGCTGACTCTGAAATGGGCCTTTCTTAGCTGGGAGCGGCCCCTCCCTCCCAGAATGCTCATCAGGATGAAATGAGATAATGTGTGGAAGTCTTAGCTGGGAGCTGGGCACACAGGAAACAGTCAGGCAGCATTTGCTAACATCACACCTTCGCCCTGGTTTCTTTAAACAACGATCAAATCACGCTCAACGAAAAATGCGAAAGAGAACTGCCGGTTCTCAGATCATCCAGACAACCCGGACCCAGTGGGACCGGAGAAGGTCACCTTCTACCTAACTTTACCTAACTCACTCACTGCCGTCGAGTCGCACCCGACTCACAACGACCCCCTTTGGGTTTCCAAGCCCGTATCACTACGGAAATAGATCGCCCAACCTTCCTTCTGAGGAGTGGCTGGTGGGTTTGAACCACCAGCCTTCTGGTTAGCAGTCGAATGCCTTAGGCACTGTGCCACCAGAGCTCCTCATTTTACCTAAAGAGCCAGTTAACTCATAAAGGGAAGAATGCCACCATTGAGTACTGCTGCTTTGAAAAACTACCTCTATGGAGCAAAATGGACAACAGCACTCTAAAGCATGGATTTGGGGGTGGGGTGGGGGCAGTGAGCCTTAATTAACGGGAATTACAGCAATTACAATGGGAAGAAATAAAAATGTTGATGTCACGTCACCAAGCATTACATGTAGAAATTACTGGCTGAGAAACTGTTTTCCTATGTGTACTATCATCCACCAATATGATAAAGTGTTTTTTTATAAAATCACTCTTGCTGTCACTTAGTAATTCAACAAACCTGGGAGAGTAAGGTTAGCCTTCACCGCTCACTTGTGCCTGAATCTTTAGGAAGTGATTTTATTGCACGCATCCACACACAGACACCAAACCAAATCAAGCCACACCCAGTGCCATCAAGTCGATTCCAACTCATAGCGACCCCCTTTGGGTTTCTGAGGCAGTAAATCTTTATGGAAGGAGATTGCCCAGGTTTCCTACACACACACACACACACACACACACAGAGCTTGGAAATAAACTGTTGTTGTTGTTGTTGTTGTTATGTGCCGTCGAGTCGGCCCCGACTCATAGCGACCCCTCCTTGGGTTTCCGAGGCAGTATCACTACGGAAGTAGGATTGCCCAACCTTCCTTCCGGAAATAAACTAGTGCCAGTAAATACCCAAGGGCCCAAACAACACACGAGCTCACACCAACACACGAGCTCAACCAGCTCAACCTCCTCACAATGGCAGGTGAGAGTTTCGATGGTTACCTAACTGCCATTCTCAGAATGAATTTCATGTCAGTTTCATCAACTCAGTAAATTTTTAGGGAATTGAAATACTGAGATCTCAACTCATGTGAATCAAAGTTTTAAACAAAACTTGATCCTTACCTCACTATGTGTTGCCAAGACAACCCAGCATTAAGCAGAAAATTTCCTTTTTTTCCAAAGCATCATAAACCATAATCCCTCCATGACCAGATGAAAAGAAGGGCCTATTTAACCTGAACTCTACAATTAACCTACAGCTCAGGAAGTGGGATAGAGGGGCACGCACCAGGTCCTTGCCACTGGAGTCAGATTCTCTGAGTTCCCTCCTCAAGCCTGTCACCTCCCCCAGGCTCGCTGGTGGCTCAGTAGGCAAGTAGGTAGGGAAATACCGTGCCAGGTCCAGCATATAATCATTCAAGAAATCCTCACTGCAAATATTTTATTATTATAATGTCTTATTTTGTGAATTGAAATAGAAATACAATTATCTCAACTACTTAAATGAAACCGTAATTCTACTCAATTCAACAAAGATTTACTGATCACTGATAACCCACTACTGATCACCTTCTATGTGCCAACACTTCGCTTTCTGAGAGCGAAGACCTGGAGCAGGAAGTGTGCAGGGGCAGCAGACACTCTATTTTAAGTAGCAAACTAACGTGTTTCTACCCCCACCACACCCTCAACCCTTTTCACACTCTTTGTTGGCCTAATTTTGAAGGGCTTCTTTTTTCCTTAAGCATGCTCTTTGACATTTCTCTTATCCTAAACAAATGCCTCATCCTTGTTAGTCAAACTCAACAGATTAACCAAGAACACACCTTCTTCTCATGGAAAGAGGCCAAAACAGGAACTTAAGGTTACAGAATTTTCATGCTAATGGCACTGCCATAAACTGAACAATACCACATGAGGCAGTATCATTATGGAAGTAGATTGCCCAACCTTCCTTCCCAGGAGTTGCTGGTGGGTTTGAACCGCCAGCCTTCTGGTTAGCACTCAAATGCCTTAGGCACTACACTACCAAAGCTCCTATGATATACTGTTTAGCACAGTGTTCCTGCTTCTAAAAGTTGTGCATGACAAGGTCCCAGGTCCCAGGTGACTCTGCTGCTAGGGATCTTATTAAACCCTAGATTCTGTTTTGGTGGATCTGGGGGGTGGAAAGGCAGATTTTCAGCTGGGGGGCCCAACCAGAATGAACCAGCTCAAAGCCCTCATCTAGCCCTGAAGTAGCCACTCCCACTGGGGTATTTTCAGAAAGAAGCTTCAGGAAACAACTGGCAGGTGGTCCTCTGCGGTCTCCACCTGTCCTCTGGAGACGTACTCAGCACACCTAGTTTGTGGACGCCATCTGTTGGCAACCAGGTATTTTTGGCACCAGTTCACTTCCAGCTTAAGTTACAGACAGAAACACCCGACAGTCAATGACGTCTTTGTCAGCTTTGCATCTTCGGCACTGAGGGCATCTGTGACAAACAACATCTCCTTACGTGCTGTTTCCAGAACCTTCCACTCAGGGACCACCTGCCCCTGCCGGGTGTCGCAGGGCAGACGGCGTTGGGAAACAACACTGAGTGAGTCGTGCTGAAAATTCTGACCCACTTTTAATCAATGGAAAGTTAATTTTGCATGTGTATAAATGGAAGGCTAATAACGGTCATGAGAAAAAAGATCGTGTGATGATTCAGTGAAATAACTAAAGAGACAGTGATTGCTCTTGGAACTGAGAACAGCAGCACAAAAGAAAAGCACCGAAAGCCTCAGACGGGATCTCCGACCTCGGTGCAGGGCCGGCCGCGGCGCCCAAGCTGGCCAGACGGATGCGAGGAGCAGCAATGCCCACAACTAATACCATCCCACACAAAAATAAAGTCAGAAAAGCGTGGCAGACCCACGGGAGAGGAACCATCAGCAGGTGGTGTTCACTGCGGGGGGGAGAGAGCCCACGAGGAAACAAAGGACTCGAATCAACTTATTAATGAGCTAAAACAGAAGGCCCCTAACTCAAGCCAAACTGGAGTTACCCAGAATACAGCAAACTCAGGCCTTGAAAACTGCCTGTAATTTATGAAAATTGCTTTTCCAATTTATGAAAAGAGTCATGTTTCGGAGAATTTCTGCCTAAGCCTGAAATCCATATTCACATAGATAAAATATTAAAATGGGGATGAAAGTACCACACCAACCGCCAAACATCAAATCAATCTATAATATACCTGAACTACAGCACCAATAAATCTATTTCAAGACTGTATCATCAAATTTGAGTATTTTCCTTTCCTAATGAAAAATGCATTCCAAGTTTCAAGTATGGAAAACAAAACACACCTTTCCTCTTGGTTATTTTGATTTTTGCTCTTTTGAGCCACAAGAAAGCACAGGCTAACAGTATCAAGGTTCTAACAGGGAAAGCTCAAGACAGATGGAGAGAGAAGGGCTTACATGTCTGGCAGGGTGTCCACAGATGGGCAGCTCTGTGTCTGTGTGAGATAAGCCAATCTCCAGTGAGAGAGGTAAATTCAGGAAAGACGGAACAAAAGACGCTCCCCCACCGACGACTGAAATGAGGTCTAGTGCTCCATTTCCACCTCTTTACAGTTCCAACACAGGATCCAGGCGAGACCAGCACCCAGGGGAAGTCACTGGGGTCAGAGGGTTGGAAGGCCTCACCCGAAGCATCAGCCTCATCATCCTTATTCTGAAAGCAGCCTGTGAAGCGTCTATGGGGAAAGGAGGCTGGCCTGTTCTGTGTCCTTACCCGCTGGGAAAAATGAAGGACCCATGTTTTTTTGTGCCCTTACCCACTAGGGATGGATGAAGGACACAATAGAGAGATTTCACTTATTGTAGGAGGGATTTGGGTGCCAGGAAAAGAAAACCATTAGATGATAATCATTGGTAAAGACTAGCATAAGTAACCAAGTTACAAAATATCATTGCCTCCATGACTCTGAGCCTCTGAGAAGAACTAGATGGTGCCCAGCTACCACTTCTGACCATTCTAAGAGGGATCACAATAGAAGGTCCTGGATAGAGTGGAAGAAAAATGTGGA